ATGTCAATGCTTGGTATCATCTGTGGAGATACCCTGGTCAAATGTTTGTGTTTTTCCTGTTAAAGCCTACTGGGGATGTAAATAAAAAATGTGCTTGAGTCATCTAAAAATTAAGAGCACGTTTTACCAATTATTTCTATTTAGCCAGCAGCCCTATCACTCTGCAACTCACAACTGGCAACCCACTGAAGCTAAGCAGGTGTGAGCCTGGTCAGAACCTGGATAGGAGACCTTCTGGGAAAAACTAAGGTTGCTGCTGGAAGAGGTGTTAATGGTGCCAGCAGGGGGCGCTCACCCAGCGGTCCATGTGGGTCCTAATGCCCCAGTATAGTGATGGGGACACTATACTGTAAACAGGTGCCGTCCTTCTGATGAGACGTAAAGCTGAGGTCCTGACTCTTTGTGGTCATTAAAAATCCCAGGGAGTTTCTCGAAAAGAATAGGGGTGTAAACCTGGTGTCCTGGCCAAATTTCCCATTTGCCCCTTACCAGTCGTGTCCTCCTAATAATCCTCATCTATGAATTGGCTTCATTACTCTGCTCTCCTCCCCACTGATACTATCAGTGATAGCTGATGTGCGGTGAGCATTCTGGCCCACTATGGCTGCTGTCACATATCCAGGTGGGCTGAACATCGGTGGTGGTGGAGGGGAGTCCCCATTACCTGTAATTGTAAGCTATTATTATTATTATTATTAATAATGATAATAATCTAACTGTAATTTGATTTTTTTCTGTAGCTGATTGGAAGTATCACACCTACTGTATGCACTTTTATATATCTACTATTTTGGGAAGCATGAGCCTTCTTTTCATGGAACTGCATTTGAATTGCTGTTTAATACCTGGCCAGGTGCAAAAATAGATAGGAGCAGACTCATTAACATGCTTGCAATGTTATTTATTCATCTATCATTATAGAGAACACAGCTTCCTTCATGGTAATGCTCATATAGGATTTATGCTTGCATAATGAAAGAGTAGCTTAGTTGAGACTACGGTGCCACTGTCACGTGTTTTTATGTCTGGAAAAAACAGCTGTCATTTTTAGGTTATTTTTTCCCTTTATTGAAATCCTCCTCATGAAAAGGAGGAGTGTAGTCACTATCTCATAATGCTCTACACATGCGTCCAGTCACTCTAAAAACTGAGAGCTATAAATATATACAACTTCTGATTCAGTCCTTGTAATTGAACACACTGGAATATCTTTCATTCTTTCAAAGATGAGAATATGCTACGGACACTGCAATGCATGCAAAGATAATGTCAGTTTCTCTCAGAAGAGTACTGCTAATTTTATCCTGCTGTATTTGTTGGACAGTTGAATGAATAAAAAATATAGATGTAGTAGTTCAGGTGGGTAGCTGGGTCAGCATGCGTAGGCTGCAAATGAACAAGTGATAGGTTTATTCCATGCTGAAAAAAAGAAGAAAGAAAACACAGTGTTTCGGCTGTGGAGCCTTCTTCAGGTGTGAGCATGAATGTGTGAGCAAAATATAAATAGGTTATCGTAATACATTTGTATCTGTGTTAGCCTTTAGAATGCTTTCTTATCTGCTGATTCAATTAGCATCTGAATATTTTGTCAAAAGAACAATGCTTAGGGTTTTTAAGATAATTTTGCATTATAGTTTTACCTGGTGTTCATGGTTTTGGTGTCTTCATCAAAAGTTAAATTGTATAACGTTGCCCTGAGCTAGAATTTATACATTACAATAGGTACAAATACAAAAAACAACACTCAGCAGAATGAAGACATTCTAGAACTGCAGTATATGGCCATTCCATGCATCCAATATTCTTTGTTAATCGTATTTCAAGGCTTTTATTGCATATCTAGATATTAATATTCCCATATAGCATTCTTACCCATTTGTTTTTATTAGGTTCTTTGTTTGAATTGGAACTGAAAACAGTGCACCCCATGTGCAACAGAAGTACAGTATATTGACTTGGGTCACAGTGTGGTTTAGAATGGAAACGTGTGATGCAGCCTACAGCGTGTAATGATTTGGTGACACTCCTTACTATTTGCTAAGTGTGTTCTACCCAGCCTTTTTGTAATGGCACTTTTGGCACAGTAGTTTTGGTGCGATTAAGCTGTTCATAAGTGCTTGTCTGATGGAGGCTCAGATCCCGACTGCATTGAAGTCTGACTGAATGCAGAATGATGTCCATGGCATTTGTACTTCAAGAGTACAGGGTAACAGAGGTCTCAAAGTGTCTTGATTGTTATCTTTTAATAATTGTTTGCATTTCCTGTATATCACACTTTTTACCCTCAAAGAACCACAGTGGCTTTAAATATTAGGGGAGACCCACCAAGGTGATGTGTGCTAGCCATTAAGCTACAGCAGCCCCATTACACAGCAGATCGTTAGATTACTTTGCCAGTTGAACTGAGGGGGATATGTAGGGAGCCCATAGTGTGACCAGCCCAAAGACAGGGGCTGACACCTCTACTCTTAATATCAATGCTGTGGGAGATTTAATAATCATCCAGCCAGGATCTTGATTTAATGTCTTATCTGAAGGACAGCACATCCCATAACTGTTTCTGGTCACTGTACTGCTGAGATACGATGAGGGCAGGCTGGAAGGTGGGAAAGCTATTGGAAGCACCCATTATAAAGATTTACTAGGCCCAACCTAAGACTCTGGACATGTAGGGTAATATATCAATATCTGACTCCTATAAAATGCTTCCTTTTTGAAGTTCTCAGGTTAAAGAATGGTTTTGGCTCAAGCAAGGGAATCTGTGCTAAGTCGCACTCAGTAAAATAATGTGTGCAGGCAAAAAAAACTCTAACAATGGTCAGCCTACACAATGAGGAAAAAAAATATTTGTTTACACCTACAGCAGTAATCTGGTTTTCTTTAGAGGTCTCCCTTTCTAATACAGATTGGGCCCAAGGTTGCTAAGCTTCTGACAACTGATCAGGCTAAAAGAAGGAAACACTGTTGTCTTTCAAGGATCATTACTTTTCTTTCCTTTACTGAAAGCTTAGAATAATAAAATAATACAATTTTTGATAACATGCCATTACATTCAGTACACTCAGAAACAATTTTCAGCCAACCACATCCGTTTAGCTTGTTGTGGCTCATGTCCATCTGCTTATGTGTAATAAAGCCCAATCCATCCTTTTTTTAGCAACTCTGTGCTGCCAGAGATACAGTAGCTGTTGACATCTCCTGTCTTATGTGCTCATTGCTTTAAAACTGTATTTTTTCTGACAAGAAGGCTTTAAATATGAATCAAATCTAATTTCAGTGTGAAGTGGTTCGTGCAGGTATTGGGAAAAGAAAAGCAGGTGGTCTGGTTAGGTATGAAGGTGCAGGAAGCATTTTCGTTGAAATATATTACAGTATGGCGAACACAATGGCAGTCCCAGATCCCTTTTTGTGCCATTGTTCCTCCTCCATTTTAATCTGTATTTTCTACCAGTACAGTGCACTGAGAAAAGGAGACTGATCAAAAGAGAAAAGGAAAATCTCCCTGATCCTCGCTAATCCTAAGCATTTCTTGTTTTATAATATTCATGAGGTTCCAGCCAATTAGTTCCACTGGGCGGCTTGTCATGCCCCACGAAAAGTCTGTGCAAAAAGCAAATCTGCTGATTTCATTTTCAGTTTCAACTTTCATTTCAAGGCGTAGGAGTACAAGTTCTACAGTAGTATCTAGTCCTGGTGAGATGATTTCCACTGATATCAGTTACTTGGCTGCCAGCAAAATGCTGTACTGTGTGGAAAATATTTGCTTTCACAACTGCCAGTGGTGCTATACCCAAGTCTACCCCTTTCTTGAACGAACTAGATTATATTCACATCTTCCATCTTTTTATAGTTGATTGCACTAAGTAGGAACTGTAGGTACAGTAGGAACTGTAACTCTTTAACTGCCTTGAGATAGAAGTCCCATCTCCATAATACACTTAATTTCCATAGACATAGTCCTTTATACTACATCTTTAACCTATAAAATGCACAGTATAGCATGTGTATAAAAAACCCCAAATTGTTCATATTTATTATTTATATAGCGATGTATATTATTTTGAAAATTATAAATTTATAATCAAATTAGGTAAGTCTACCTAAACCTATACAGATAAATATGTTGCTATACAGATAAATATGAGGCAGTTTGAATTCCTTATCAGTTTTAAACTTATTGTTAAACTAATGTACAGCGCCCTTATTCAGTTTAATATGTTAGTCAACTTAGGAGAATCGTCTGACTAGGACAAATAAACTTGAACTGGTTTCTGGCTGTTTTGTGAGAGAATCACCAATACATTCACCAATGCATTCATATTTTCCTGATCCTGATCTAGTACGGCTGATTGAACTGTCTGGAAAGAATTTCTGTAGTCACTGGGGATAGCTCCATACAGATAAGAGCAGGTCTGCTGCTGTGGCAGAGTCTATATTTCAGAGGGCTATGATCCACACACTAAGCCCTCTTACACTTAGAGGGGTTTACATTGTGTTGTTTTCAAATCATCTTGGCTACAGTTTCTAAGGGGCCTAAACCCCAACTCTTCACAACTAAAATTGTGTCAGTCTAAAGCAGTACTGAAATGAATGCTTTTGGTATGGATCAGGTAGGATACCCTCCCAAAGAAGAAATAACAATGTCAGAATCTTGGGACGCTCCAGGTTTGATAAGAGTGGAGTAGCTCAGCCTGTCTTAAATTGAAGCTGTGTTTGCTTTGGTGCTGTTTTGCACTTTGTTTGCACAATGGAAGCAGTAACAGGCTTGAGAGGCTTTTGAAACTGTAATGGCACTACTGTATATTTTCAACAAATGCAAACCATCCAATGTTTTCTACATTCTGTGACTTATTTTTAGCTTTGCAACTTGCACAAGTCATTTTAAAGTTTTTTCACTTCTGCCCCATCGAAATCTTATGTGGTGATATACAATATAGGCAATTAACAGGGTACCAGTAAAACCAAATGAGCACAGATAACCCTTCTTAATTGTTATACAGGTATCAAAAATCACCTCCATTGTTAAAGATTGATGTCTGGGCTTGTGTGAAGAGGGACCAACTGCAGTATCAGCTTGATCTGTCTGAGGACGTGTTGCAGAGGGATCCAGGACTCAGCTGATGCTTTGCTACATCTTTACTGCAATACCAGCCAGAGAGGGTGACTTGAATGTTAAATAATTGCTCAGTGAAAGCAGAACCTCACACGCTGCTTGCAGTGCTTGCAGTGGCTTGCAGGGCCACTGAAGGGCTGTATGCATACTAACCTAAACCCATGAAATAATAAAACAGAAACTGCTGTGTGTACAGGGTTGTATTTTTGGATTAATCCATGTCAATTACAATAACAGTTGCTGATTGTTATATGAAACAGCAGTAGATCACAATGTACATGTATAAAGAGCATGTCCCCACCCCACAGCTCTGCTTTCACAGGCATTGCACAGCTGGGGTGTCAGAGGGGTAGCTGTGTGATTTAACAGATCTCTCCGTCTCTTATGGAAACACCAGAAAAGCCATTGCTTATGAAAGATAATGATGTATATCAGAGTCAATGTAGAGTGCTAAGTCTTACTTATTACATAGTAAAGTAGTAGACTACTCTAGGTTAATCCACTGCAAATGCCAGGTGAATTTATTGACTTTCACACCTTATGAATAGGGGAATCAAACACTAATACCAAATGCATATCTTAGATACTGGTCTACACTGTAAATCTCCTAAAATTTATCTTGCAGTTAGAACATTTAGATCTATTTCTTCCCTCATACACTTTCTACGGTGGTGAATTTTATCAGGTTTTTCTTGAGTTTGCTGCGTGATATAAACATAGACACTTAGCTTTTCCTCATGAGTTTATTCCTGTTTATTGTGCCACTAGTTAAACGTCTCAGATGTCTTGGCATTTATTCCTTTTTACACACTATCACAGTAAACATTTTAACACAATTTTGAAACAGGCTTTAACAGACGGTTTTCCAATTCTCTTCAAGCTGGAATCCCCATAATAGAAATGAAAGTTATTCCCAACATTTTTTTTTCAGTTATATGATTTTTTGTCCTCCTTGGAGGAAATTAAATTAATTTCATATTTGAACATGTTAACTTTCTTATGGAATGGGAAACGGTAGTGTATTGTATCTGTGAGGCTTACCCAGATGTGGAAACAGATCTGGTTTTTGTCCACTGTTCGATTATTAATTCTAAGTGTATTTCTTGCTGTCCTTGTGTGTTTTTATGATAAGTCGGATTATGACCTCTCACAGTGGCATAAAAACATTTTGTACCTTGGTCTCACTGCAGTTAAAATTGTTGGTGATGCATTAGGGGAGGCTTCATATTCCCTGCTCTGACTCCTCTCAAATCTTGATGTTATACATGGAGGTTTCTACCTCTTGTACCCATGGTGCCAGGGGACAAGAGGAATGGAGAAGGCTTTATTTATGGAACACTGAAAGATCGATCCATAACACCTTCTTTGTCTATACAGAACACTAAGAGAACCAAATCTTTTTTCATGTTCCCCTTTAAAAAAAACTAGTATTTTCTAACAGAGATACTGACCTTTAACATATTACACTTACGAAATATTGTGAATTTTTTGTGCTGCTTGGTTAGAATGGCCTTCTGTATTCAAGTCAATTAAACGGACTATAAATAAGAAAATGGGAAACAGCAGTCTTAACCCATGGAATAAAAATGTCAAACTGGTAGTAACTAGTTTTGAAAACTTTAGGATTCAGAATAATCTTATACTAAATTTATCAAGTGAAGCAAATATTGCTGTGTAAAACTACCTCCGATAATAACAATGTTTTGTACCATTTCTTTATATGAGCTGAGAGATCAGCATTGGTGTATGGAAAAGGGAAATCTGTCCAGAAGGAATAAAGGTGTGTTACCTTTCATTGTAAAATTACAGTCAAAACTCCTGCAATTGAGAATAAAGTTAATACAGTTCAAAATATGAAATTTTGTGAGCACCACAACACTAGTGTCTTTCTTAGACTTATAGGAATGTATAGCTACAATCTTTAGATGCAGTCAGTCATTACTTCTGTTGTTTGTTCCTTGTGTGTGCAGATATTCTTTCACTATATTGTTTTTTGAGATAAATGAAAGACAAAACAGTTGGGGGTTTAATACTAAATTAAAAATATAATTGTGTTTCTTAAAGCATTGAAAACTGTTTTTATTCCTTGAAAGTGTTTAGAACTTCCAGGATGAAACACATTGGTTAGAAGTTGCCAAACGAGATGACTTGTGAGACAAGATATTGTCCTGATGATATAAGTCATTCTGCAGAGATAATAAACTGTAAGCCAATGAGTTAACCGAAATGCAATCCCTTTAATTTTAAATCTCCAGCTTTAATTTAGTAAAATCTTTCATTTTAATTTGTACTATTAATAGTAGTAGAGGCACACGTTGCAATAAACGTTGGCAAATTTACCCATATTTCTGATTGTAAAAAGTGGATTTTCAAATATTAACACTGACGTTGTTCTGCATTGTATAATGAAAATATGCTTAGCTACTGCTTAGTATGAAGAACACTTTAAAGCTGATTAGCCACAAATCTTTTAGGCTGCTTGATCAAAGGTAAGTCACAAGCAGAGAAAGGAATGAGAAGAGCAGGAATAATTATCTTTGGACATCCCAAGGCTTTTCATTTAATCATTTTCATTAATGTGTGAAGTTACTTCAGACAAAATAATAATGCAAGCAAAATAAAATATAAAATGCAGAGTATTTACAGTAAATGTACTGTAGCTCATTAATCCTCCTGGCTTTCAGTATAGCTGGTCATAGCTAAGCTGGTAAATCAAATAAACCATTTGAAAAGCCAAATGTTAGGGTGAGGGGATTGTGACTATTATTTTAGATCCATCTGTCTTAGTAGAGGATGGTATGAATATTCTCCATAAACATGTACTGTAAGGTGATTTCTTACTCCCAACAAAACTCATAAAACACGGGAAATTGCCTTGTGCCCTCACTTCTCTTCCTTCAAAGCCAAAATCATCATATACAAATACTGTATTATGATGTCCTGACCCATTTGATCAAAGGTGTAGCAAATGGTTAATGACACTTGTAAGGACCTCCCTCCAGAATGGCTTATCTTTGCTTTAATAAATTAACATTTTTGACAAGCATGACACATTCGAAACTGAAATTATTTCATGTTGTTTTTTAATTTTCTTGTTTAGCATTTGATTAACAGGTGTGCACATTCCTTTCTAATTTCCCCTCAATCTGTGGGCTGTTCTTTTGTGACTGGTGTGTAGTTCTGTTTTTGTTGTCTAACATTCCTTTGCAGGGTATTTTTCTTTGAACAATGATTGTACATCCCCTGATGTACATGTAGCCGAGATGTCTGTCTGTATCTTTGTGTTCCTGGTCTTTTCATCATTAAGATAAACAATGAGAAGCCTGTGGTTTAAATAAAATACTTCTAAGACACAGCAAAACATGGACAGGGTAGTTATCAGAAGTGTATTTGTAGTGCAATCTAATAATATAACATATTGATTCAAAAAGACATTTTGCTTTCAGTTTTACATTTTATTTAACTGAAAAAGAGAATGTGTCATTAATCTATAATTGTTCTACTGTCAAGCACAACATGTTAGCTTTTAGTATTATTTGTAATAGAAGTGTTAGTCGTAGTTTAATTCAAAATACATTTGGCTGCCATCAGTAAGCATGGTACTGTAACTTACAGTTAATTCAGCTACATTATACACTATATAATTTGACTTATCAGTAGTCTATAATTGGATGATACAAATATGACATGACATTTCTTCTGTAAATATATATCATATATCACACTAAGCTACAAATTGGCATTGTATTCATTAACACTGTGTCAGACTCTCTCTAAACTCTGTTGGAGTAATTTAATTAACTCTTCTTCAGGATCTGATGTGCTTTCAATTGGAGGGTCATTATGCTGCTGCACCTGTGTAGTGTTAAGGTCAGTGTTCTTCTTCTGACTTATAAATCTCACTCATCTCACTCCATTAGAACACCACAGTCATTCCTAACGGAAAGGTACAGTTGCCCAGCTGGTATGCCTAGACGTAGGTCTAGGCTTTTTAGATAGGCTTATCTAAAATCATTTTTTGCACTACGTCCTCTCTTCCCACTGCTACCAAAATCCTCCTGTATTTCCTCTGCATACTTCATTTGTCATCATTCTTTGATAAGTAATTACTTCAGTTTACTGTAAATGTTCCACTACTTTAGGTACTGAACAGTGCACATCTAAAGAAACTGAAGTGTCTTTAAAGTATGAGTAAAGACAATAAGCCTTTGTGTATTGTTAATAAAAATAAAAATGACTCATTAAAACTAAAAAATCAAGTTTTTCAGGTACATCAGGAGAATATTATGCTTGAACAATTAAAAGCTAGTCGCCCCAAGCTCCATTGAACTGAGGCTTTTCTTTTCATTTAATTGTGCAGGGTATTGACCTCTGTCTCAACATCTCAACCAGTCGAAACCTTCTAAACCTAGACCTTCATCTGAATTTATTGGGTTTTAAAACAAGTCTGAGGTCAACGGCTGTTTTAGACAGTTAGAATGTAGTTATTCTTTTATGTTAGGGCAATTACTTTGCCTCTGGTGAAGAAACCCATAATGATTGTCCACACCTCCTATATGAGAGTCTTTTAAAGGTTGCAGTTTAAGCACAGGGATAGCTGTCAGAGCTCACTGCATGCATGCATGGTTGCAATTTGTCTCATATCTCAGCATGAAGAAGACAAAGCTGTTAAGTCCCAGCTGGATGATGTCACCCAAGTTTCAACACTTCGTCCAAAGCTCTGACTGTGAAAGGACTTAACTAGTCTTGTGTCCACCTTAATGTGGCTGGAATGTGGCCTAATTCTTTGCATGAAAATGTAATGTATCACTGCAAGCCCAATCAACTGGTTACCTGTATATCTTGCTGATAAAAGTGTGAGAGATTACAGCATCCAGGACCATCTTACTTCCCTCATCTCTGTGTCAGACAATGGCAGTTACCAAGTTTAAGAGCAACACGTTTTTATAGAGGCATCCTATTGTCATAGTTGGTTGGTTGGTGTGAGCAGTGGACAGACTTATTTCTAAAAAGCCATATTTTGAGGTATCATGCTTGACAGTATGCTGCACATTTTGGGTTTTATATGGTATACTCTACTAATTTCTGTGTGTAATCAGATTGTTTATTGTTATAGAGTTAATGAGGCAATCTACTGAGTCTTTTTTTACATATTCATTTAAAAACCTGATTAAATAATTGAAATTATTGTACAGACCAGTTGTAGAGGTGTAACTGATTTTGGGAAATTCCAATTATATTATATTTATTTTCACTTGTGACATTCCCAGAGGTTCGGGCGTTGTAGTCATTTTATATTGGATGAGTGCAGCCATAAGTTACAAAATAAGTGCTTTATGTATTAATGGTGCGGGGAGCACAGCTAAACTCGCTCCAAACCAAAAAGCCAAGCTCTTCTTTGAGCTCCTGAATGAACTTCAGGAGGTCCCTCTTTGACAATAACTGGGCAGCTAAGCTGCTTACCGGCCTCAAAACAAGCTCGGAGACTTGCTCACGTCACACAGACTCCACATAGAGACATCAGCAGCTCTCTCTTCCGATCTCTTGCCACACAGGCTTCTCTCTCATGATTCACCTGTGCTCGTCTCTCTCAAGACTCAGTTTCACAGGCCCATATGTGGGTGTTTCTTCCTTCTCCCTCTGTGCAGAACAGTAGATTTTCTGCCCTCTTTTTTCATAGGCTTTTTCATGAGGTTGTCTCACAGAATTAGGCCTGGTTCCTTTCTTAGCTTAGTTTGCTTAATACAAACATACATCTTTTTAGCCTCAGCTTAGCCCTGATGATTGCTTTTCGACATGGATCAAGAATTTCCTTACTACAGTAATGTGAAAAATAAGCACAAGTTAGAATGCAACACGAAAAGGAAACTAGGTTACTAACTCTGGTTAGATATTGAGCACAAAGAGCCAAATCAGATTGTATTGTACTTCAACTATTTCAGAAATACTTAGTTCTTCGAAACATTATTTTTGGTGACATAATAGCATATTTCTTTCTTACATTTTCTACAACTCAACAAGCTACTAACATTAAACAATTTATTGTTCAGAAATATTTAAATTGGATTTGGAAATAAACAAACATGGAGAATATAACCTTTAAAGTTTTATTATTTGATTTAAATTAATTTGTGTTAAATATCTTAGTTATAGTCTTTTATTGTTACATGCTAAGAAATGTAGGACTACCTTCAAGGCAATCAGTTTTATATACAGCAATATATAGTACCAAATACATGTATACAGGTATATATGTTTAAATAATTTATCTACTGTACAAATATCAGAATACACCTAACCTCTGTAGCTTTGATCAGCTGTGCAGGTGAAATCATACAACTACAACTACTGTGCAGTTTTCAAAACAGGGATTTTAACAGTTGTGTGAGTTTATTGATGATGTTAAAATGCTGTAGGTATACATGGAAATTAAACAAAATACAAAAAAGCTTTTACTGAAGCTTTAACAGAACTACAAAGCTATCAGTTAAAACATATAGTGCCTTTCAAAAGTATTCAGACCTTTTCACATTTTGTTGCTTTAAAGCTTGCTGTCACTACACTTTGCAGTAGCAGTTCATATTTGTTATATGCATACACACCCTATCCAATGAAAGCAAAAAACTAAATGAATACAGAAAGTAGACAATTGATACAAAAGAAAAATGAAAAATCACATGATAGCATAAGTACTCAAACTATGAGCAGGGGCAAATCTAAATTAATGTACT